CCTGCTTATTGATTCATTCATTCGCCTTGTTCTCCATTGATTCATTAACTCCCTGGTTATCCATCCATTCATTCATTCATTCTCCAATGCGCGGCGATCAGTCATTCGGGGACGCGCTGGGCTGGGCCTGGGGCCGTTGGGGATCGCACATGGGGTGTCACGGGGTGGGGGTGGCGCTTGCTTTAAGTGTGGGTGTCGCGACCTCACTCAGGCCCCTCCCCCCAATTTGCACCCCGCAAAGCACGCTCCCCCCTCCCCCAATTGCACCCCGCAAAGCGCCCTCGCCCCTCCCCCCACTGCACCCCGCAAAGCGCGCTCGCCCCTCTCCCCATTGCACCCCGCAAAGCACGCTCCCCCCTCCCCCACCACTGCACCCCGCAAAGCGCGCGCTCCCTGCAGGATGGGGGTGCGCGCGGGGCTTCTGGGGGCGTCGGGGCGCGTGTCCGGCCGGCGCTGCGTGCTGGGGGGCCACCCACCCCGGCCGTGCCCGACCGTCCCCCGAGTGTCCCCGGCGCGTCCCCGCGCGCGCAGGGCGGGCGATGCGGGGCTGGCGCCGGGGCCTCGCGCTCTGCCTGCAGCGGCCGCTGGACGAAGGTGGGCGCGGGGGGCGCGGGCGGGGGGAGGGGGAGGGGACACGGGGCAGGGGGAGGGGCGGGTCCCCCTGGCCGGGGAGGGGGAGGGGGGAGGGGTCACTGAAGGACACGTGGGGAGCCTGGTGCCCCCTCCCCAAGAAGCCAGGAGGGCGCGCATTGGGGACTCGGGGGCGCGCATGGAGAGGGGTCCCCGCTGCAGGGGGAGGGGCGCACAGGGGACATCCGGGTCTCCTGGGCAGGGGTGAAGCGGGCAGAGCTCCCAGCAGGACACGGGGAGCCTGGACACCCCATGGGAAGCCAGGAGGGCGCGCATGGAGAGGGGTCCCAGCGGCAGGTCAGGGGCGCACGGGGCCATCCGGGTCTCCCGGGGAGGGGTGAAGCGGGGAGGGGTCATTGAAGGACACGGGGAGTCTGGACACCCCAACCCAAGAAGCCAGGAGGGCGCGCATTGGGGACTTGGGGGCACGCATGGAGAGGGGTCCCCGCTGCAGGGGAGGGGCGCACAGAGACATCCGGGTCTCCTGGGGAGGGGTGAAGCGGGCAGAGCTCCCAGCAGGACACGGGGAGTCTGGACACCCCATGGGAAGCCAGGAGGGCGCGCATGGAGAGGGGTCCCAGCGGCAGGTCAGGGGCGCACGGGGACATCCGGGTCTCCTGGGGAGGGGTGAAGCAGGGAGAGATCATTCAAGGACACGAGGGGAGCCTGGTCCCCGCTTCCCCAAAAAGCCAGGAGGGCGCGCATTGGGGACTTGGGGGCGCGTATGGAGAGGGGTCCCCGCTGCAGGGGGAGGGGCGCACAGGGGACATCCGGGTCTCCTGGGCAGGGGTGAAGCGGGGAGGGGTCATTGAAGGACACGGGGAGTCTGGACACCCCAACCCAAGAAGCCAGGAGGGCGCGCATTGGGGACTTGGAGGCGCGCATGGAGAGGGGTCCCCGGGGCAGGGGAGGGGCGCACGGGGCCATCTGGGTCTCCCGGGGAGGGGTGAAGCGGGGAGAGATCATTGAAGGACGCTGGGGGGGGCTGGTCTCCCCACTTGGGAAGCCAGGGGGGTCACAGGGGGGACTTGGGGGCGTGCATGGAGAGGGGTCCCCGCTGCAGGGGGAGGGGCGCACAGGGGACATCCGGGTCTCCTGGGCAGGGGTGAAGCGGGGAGGGGTCATTGAAGTACAGGGGGGGGCTGGTCTCCCCTCCCCAAGAAGCCAGGAGGGCGCGCATTGGGGACCCGGGCGCATGGAGAGAGGTCCCCGCTGCAGGGGAGGGGCGCACAGAGACATCCGGGTCTCCCGGGGAGGGGTGAAGCGGGGAGAGCTCCCAGCAGGACACGGGGAGCCTGGACACCCCATGGGAAGCCAGGAGGGCGCGCATGGAGAGGGGTCCCCGGGGCAGGGGAGGGGCGCACGGGGACATCCGGGTCTCCTGGGCAGGGGTGAAGCGGGGAGGGGTCATTGAAGGACGCTGGGGGGGGTTGGTCTGCCCACTCGGGAAGCCAGGGGGGTCACAGTGGGGACTTGGGGCGCTTGGAGAGGGGTCCCCGCTGCAGGGGGAGGGGCGCATGGGGACATCCGGGTCTCCCGGGGAGGGGTGAGGCGGGGAGGGGTCATTGAAGGACGCTGGGGGGGGCTGGTCTGCCCACTCGGGAAGCCAGGGGGGTCACAGGGGAGACTTGGGGCGCTTGGAGAGGGGTCCCTGCTGCAGAGGGGGGGCGCACGAATATCCGGGACACTTGGGGAGGGGTGAGGCAGGGAGAGCTCCCAGCAGGACACGGGGAGTCTGGACACCCCATGGGAAGCCAGGAGGGCGCGCATTGGGGACTCGGGGGCGCGCATGGAGAGGGGTCCCCGCGGCAGGGGAGGGGCGCACGGGGACATCTGGGTCTCCCGGGGAGGGGTGAAGCGGGGAGGGCTCCCAGTAGGACACGGGGAGTCTGGACACCCCCCTCCCC